AAAAAAAAAAAAAAAAAAAAAAAAAAAAAAAAAAAAAAAAAAGGGAGAGGAGCAGGGAGGGGAAAGGAGGCAAGGAGAGAAAAAATTCTCTCATGGCCAGCATATCATGAGTAGGAAATTCAAGGTGCATGTCTGGTGATGAACTACTAAAATTTATATTTTTCCTAGCTAGAAAGTACTTGACCATATTAATGATAACATAAAACATGACTAACACTTCATTCTGCCAAGATGCTGCAATTAGAAGCCTCCTGCATTTGTGCCACCACTACACAGTCACAGCCCCTCAGTCGATCTCTTCAATTAATCATTTATTTCTCAGACAAGTGTACATTGAGCCAGGGTCCTGGGCACTGCGGAGTTAATAGAGAATATGATTTGGGTGCCTACCATCAAGTGGCATTCATTCTGTCTAGTGATGGAGACAGAAGCGTAAAGGGGAAAATATAACATGCATTAATAATACAATGAAAGGAAGGACTATTGATGTGAGAACACAAAGGAGAGTCACCAAGCCTTCCATAGGGAACATCACAAAAGCCAAACTGTGAAGAGAGAGTGAAGGGAGGTAAGAAAAAGGCTGTTTCTAGGCAGTTGAAATAGACACATCAGAAAGAATGGCATATTCCTGAATTCTTAAGACTGTGGGACTATTAGTTAGGATTCAGTAGAGAGAGGATTCACCGGAAGAGTTGAAGCAGAAGAGGTAAGCTTGGGTTACGTTTTGAAGGATTGCATATTCCATGCCAAAATGTTTAGACATTTATTAAGGGCAATGCAGAGAAATGGAAGGGTATTAAGCAGGAGAATGACATGATCAGATTTTCATTTTAGAAAGCTGACAGTTTGGATATTGAATTGGATGAAATTAAGAGCAGATATCTGGAAAGTAGTTTAAGAAAGGATGGCAATGGCCTAGGCAGTAGATTGTGATGGCCAGAAGCTGTAGTAGGAGTTGGAGAGAATGAAACAGAATCAAGATATGTGAGGAAGGTCAAAAAAAGAAAAGAAAACAAAGGAATGGAAAGGAGAGAAGAAGAAAAAGGAAAAGGAAAGAAACAAAACACAGGAGACAAAGCAAATTTGTGGAGATGGTTGATAAATGTATTTAGTTTACAACAGGTTGAGTCTGAAGTCAATATTACCTTATGTACAATCAGCACACAGCAGTGAGATAATAAGAGACGACTTGTCTGGACCTCATGAACTAGGATGAGGTGTATCTAAATTTAGAAAACATCTGGATGCAAATTATTACTCAAGCCCAAGAAGCAACAGAAAGCACAGATAGAAAGTGTGGAATTCAGAGAAAAAGATCAAAAGACTAAACATTAAGAGACACCAACATTTTAGAAATAGGTAAGGATCGCAGAGAACATAGGGAGATGGAGAAAGAGAGGTGGGGGAATCTAAAAGAGTAAGTGTGAAGGAAGCCAAGGACAGATATTTCAAGAAGTCAGCAGCGGTTAAAATCGGTACATGCTGCCAGGTTATCAACTGAAATATAGGCAGAAGTCTACACCCATACCACCCTGAATGTGCCTGATCTCATCTGATCTTGGAAGCTAAGCAGGGTCGGGCCTGGTTAGTACTTAGATGGGAGACCACCTGGGAATACCAGGTGTTGTATGTAGGTTTTTAAAAAAATAAAATAAATAAAATTTAAAAAAAAGAAATATAGGCAGAAAAGCACAGTAGGTTTAACAGAAAGGAGACAGATGGCAAATGACTTGGGAAACTTGGTAGCATAAATGCTCGATTGGATTGAATCAGGAAGTGCCTTCGTGGTAAGGAATTGGATCAGTAGTGTGAAGAACATTTTGATGAACACAAATTCTTTACTTCTGAAAATATACACCAATAACAACAATAATGTTAGATGTGGTACAACAGCAGGTGATGACAAGCTCTAGGATGCAGCCAGGGGTGGATGGTGGCAGATATTGAAGAAGTCAAGAGATCAAAAGCTGGAGTGTTGGGTTGATCATTTCTTGAGACACTGAAGTTACCGTAGACTTGGGGTAAAGGAGAGACAGGAGCCAGAGAGCAAAACCCTTACTACATGAAGAACAGACGTAGGAAGACAGTGCTGACAGTGATGGAGTAATGGGTTTTAGAACCAGGCAGCATGAGCCTCACAGGAGCATGGATAAGAGGAAGAAGAGATGTTATTTGTAAGAGGCACAGGGAAAACAGAAGGGTCTCAACCCCATCGCCTGACTCTGAGAATACAGATTGTAGGCAAATAAACAAATCCATACTTCCTTCCCTCCCTCCTTCCCTCTGTCCCTCCCTCCCTGCCACCCTCCTTCCCTCCTTCCCTCCTTCCTAAGCATTTCCTGAGTGCCTACTAGTGCTAGGACTGTGCTAGCTGCTAAGAAGATTCTTGGTAAACAGATCACATGGGCTTCCTGCTCTCACAGAACCTGCAATCGGAAGGCTGCTGGAAAAGTAAAATTCTTGAATTCTTTAGCTGGAGGAAGGTGTCAGTTAAGACCCAGGCATAAAACACTACTGAAGAGGAGGACGAAGAAAAAGACTTTTGTTCTCTTCGGTGTTTGTAAAGGGCATAAAATATCAGGGAAGTCTGAACTATGAAAGGATGGTAAGTATGGGTTAGTCTTCTCTTCATTAGCTTGCAGACAAAATCAGATGCATATTATTTTATTCATTGCCCATTGGGCTTGCACCCACTGCTGATGAACTTCTTGCCAGTCCTGTCTCCCATCCATCTACAAGGCTGTGACTTATCATTCACTTTACCATGGGCTCCATGAGTACTTCCACACTTGTCAGTCTTGTTTTCCAAGGCTACAAATTATCAGTGGGCCCAGCGTGGTTACAAATAGCCTTCACGAGCTTTGCTGGTAAAGAAAATATATCATTTCTCTTTCCCTTTCAGTGTGCTGTAATATATACACAGCTAAAACTCCTCAGACGGTTCATTAGCTTTCTCATTTGGGTGAGAGTTTCTCAGCAGGACATACGGAACCACCATATATTGAAGTCTATTGCCAATTTTTCCATGATAATCAGTAATATGAAAAAGTTACAACCAATTTCCAAAGATGCCCAATTTATGCTAGGAAGTACAGAAACACAAGCCAGATAAACTGAGCAGCTTGATGCAATCTTATTATGTTAGCACAAACACTCTGTCCAGAATAACCAGAGTATCATATAATGTGCTTTCAAATCATGGAACTCAAACTTTTATCCTATTATTAGTTTATTTGTAAAATGTTTATTGAGCACCTATACTATATGCCAAGTAATATTGTAAGCACTGGGAATACATCAACACGGAGAAAATAATTTTAGAATTCCTCACGTTTTGTTGGCAAGAAAAGACAATAAAGAGACATTGGGTTCTAAAGGGGCATCCCCTCCTGCCTCAGCCTTTGAAGGCTGTGATGGTTAACATTTTTTATGTCAGTATGACTGGCCCATAGTCTCCAGATAGTCAAACATTATTCTGGAAGTTTCTGTGAAGGTATTTTTTGGATGATCCTAATATTTAAATCAGTGGACTTTGAATAAAGAAGATTGCCCTCCATAATGTAGCTCAGCCTCCGCCAGTCAGTTAAAGGCCTGAATAGACCCAAGTCTGACCTCCCTCAAGCAAGAATTCTGCCAGCAGACACCTGGCCTTCAACTTGAACTACAACGTTGGTTCTTCCCTTTATTTCCAGCTCACAGGTCCAAAATCACAGGAATCTGGACTTTTCAGCCTCCATAATCATGTAAGCCAATTATTTAAAATAAATCTCTTGACATACAAGTACCTCCTATTCGTTCTGTTTCTCTGCAAAACCCTGACTAACACAGGGTAAATGCTTCTAATAACTGAGGCTGGTGTAAAATTACCCAATCCCAACATATCCTTCCATAATCATTTCCATCATGCCTTTTCCATATCCTTCCCAGGGCTGCCTTTGGAGGGACTGGTTATGCCTGCTTCTCCCAGAACACCCTTTTTGATACACTTGGGATGCGAACCTGCCTGGCTTAACAGTGATCAGTGAAACGTGCCTTTGGGAAGCCCCAACTCTGTCACCTTCCACTGACACCTCCTCAATTTCCCTTTCCCTAGTGTGCTCTGAGGAATCAGGCAGTGCAGCTGGCTCTCAAGGTAACCTACACATCTTTTTAGAAGAAAAACTTGACCGTTAGACCTGAGTAACCCCGATTTGGATCCTCTTCTGGGGTCACACAAATGTTAAAAGCAGCAGGGAAGTACCCAGGAGGAAATGGCATTCAGTTCTGTCCCAGGGTCAACAGGCTACCTACTAGCTCACATGCTTGCTAACTGAAGGCTACAGACACCACTAAGGCTGTCCCCTATCTTTAAAGCCCCTAATTCCAAGGTTGCCATCTTCCTGTAGGATTTGGCCTTGATCCAGGTACCTCTAGCATTTCTACACGGTTTCATCTTTGCGTATGCTTCCCCTCTGCATGGGATGCACTCTTCCACTTTTCTACTAGAAAACTATCTATCCTTCCAGCCTTGCCAAATGTTAGCATTTTTCTGAAGTCTTTCCTGACCTCTGTCAGGAAAAATTAAAGACTCCCTCTCCTGTGTTCTCAGAGACATTTCTTTTTTTTTTTCTGAAAATTAAAACAATACTCAAAAACATAGTTCTATCAACCAAGTATTCAAACATCAGCCCAATAAAAGTTGTTCTGGAAAACTAGTAGAACTATGAGATAGTGCAAATTTTACTAGTTACATTTTATTATGCTTTCTATAACCAGTCTTTATAAATGCAATTTGCAAACAAAAGTTTATAAAATCTTGCACAGTCAATGAGGTGGCTGCTGGTCATTTCTCTCAACGTAGCAGGGTGTGAGCTCCATAATTATAATTGTTGTATTCTAAATACCCTCATTTCCTCTATTCTTCAGATCCTTCATCCCTTAGAGCAAATATAATTGTACGATTCAAGCAGCTATCAATTCATTCCAGTGGAATGTCTTAATAAAAATGTTCCCTCTTGCTGGGAATTTTTAGAAGTAACACATGTGAAATCCATTTAAATGTCAGAGAATTTTTTCTCCCTCAGGTTGATTTTAGTACATATCACATGCTCAGCTTAGAGGTGATTTGCAAAAGAAATAAGAAAACCAGGCTAATCATAGAAATAGGTGTTGGATGGAATTACCAATCAGACTGTGGTAGGAACTCCCATAAACACGGATTTGTTTTTTTTTCAAAATTCATCTATCACCTGGTGCCCATGAGGAGGCAAGTTTCAATTCTGTATTAAGTTCAACTTTCTGGTTTCCTATACAGGCCACATTCAAACATACCATAAAGATGATGCCAAAATCATCTTGCAGAAATTCCCAGCAATCTGTGTTTTTCTCCCCTACCTCACACTGCTCCAGTAGTGCTAGTTTTGGCTTTGATCCCAAGCAATCAAACCCATCACTTTCAACTCTTCTGGAAAGGCAGGAACAGCTTTGAGGAGCTTCTGCACATTCTGCACAACAGAGGGACTGCCTCTTGTACACATGGTCAAGAATCAGATCCCCACCCTGGGTCCCCATACTCCCAGACCTTCTTGTCATATGATGATCATGGCCAGCCCAAGGGGAAGTTCTCAGTCCCCACTGTACCTCGCTGTTCATCAATGTTTGATAGAGTCATCCCCTGATATTACTTGGATATTTGCCCCTACCCAAATCTAATGCTGAATTGTAATTCCTAATGTTGGAGTTGGGGCTTGGTAGAAGGTGCTTGTATCATGGGGGTGGATTCCTCATGAATGGCTTGGGCCATCCCCTTGGAGACAAGTGAGCTCTTACTCTGAGTTCACATGGGATCTGGTTGTTTAAAAAGTGTGTGGCCAAAAAGCCCTTCAAAAAAATCAATAAACCCAGGAGCTGGCTTTTAGAAAAGATCAACAAAATAGACTGCTAGCCAGATTAATAAAACAGAAAAGAGAGAAGAATCAAATAGATGGAATAAAAAATTATAAAGGGGAGGTCACCACCGATTCCACAGAAATACAAACTACCATCAGAGATTACTACAAACAACTCTATGCACATAAACCATCAAAACTGGAAGAAATTGATAAATTCCTGGTCACTTGCACCCTTCCAAGACTAAGCCAGGAAGAAGCTGAAACGCTGAATAGACCAATAACAAGGGCTGAAGTTGAGGCAGCAATTGATAGTCTACCAATGAAAAAAAGCCCAGGTCCAGATAGGTTCACAGCCGAATTCTACCAGACATACAAAGAGGAGCTGGTACTACTCTTTCTGAAACTATTCCAAACAATCCAAAATGAGGGAATCCTTTCCAAATCATTTTATGAGACCAACATCATCCTGATACCAAAACCCAGCACAGACTCAGCAAGAAAAGAAAACTTCAGGCCACTATAAAAAATGAACATAGATGTAAAAATCTTCAGTAAAATACTGGCAAATCAACTGCAACAGCACATCAAAAAGCTTATCCATCATGATCAAGTAGGTTTCATCCCAGGGATGCAAGGCTGGTTCAACATACACAAGTCTATAAATGTAATCCATCACATAAACAGAACCAAAGACAAAACCCACATGATTATTTCAATAGATACAGAGAAGGCATTTGACAAAATTCAACAGCCCTTTGTGCTA